TTTTGTATCTAGAGTCACGTGAAAAGGAGTTGATCCCTACGTTGCAGGTTCGAATCCCAATGCGGGACGCGGAGACTGGCCCTTCCGATAAAAACTTGTATGAATTGATGTCCCGTGTCCCTTTAAATTCTGGCAAATAAAAATAGTCACTCACTTCTCAAATCCTGTATAATTAAATGCCGACTAAAGGTCAAAATGTTGCAACCCCCACTGGAAAGTGATTGCATCGTAATATGAGTGAAAAATTCTGGAATGGACGTTTAACAAATTATGAAAAACAATCATTGATGCCAAAGGCGTTAATGCTTTTGGGAAGACCTTTCTCTCTCTAATGGAAAAGGTATTTGTATACATGCTAAAATAACATAAATACGCCTAATAAATACGCTGTAAATACCGTGCACAAAATTAACTTAAGGATATGTTAACACTCTAAAGTCTCTTTCCATCCGTTTTTATTTTTCTTCAAGACAAAGTGCACTCACCTACCAAACGTACTGTATAACAATCTTGTGTGGAACATGTGAAGACAAGGAAGTGTCATCATTAACATTTCAGGCACTAGGAGTGTAAAGGTGTCACTACCATAGACCCCACCCCCCGGGATTAGTATGGCGCCAAGGAGTGGTACTATGTCTGGTTTATTCCCAGAATGTCTACTCATTATAAAATTATCTAATTATCACACTCAATTAAGAGGTCCTGTAAGGGGTACAGGTAGAGTTTACCTGTGTTACCTTGCTGTGATTAAATACTTTAATATTTACTGATAAACTTTTGTACTCAACTTCAAGTTCAGTAAACTCACCCAAACTAAAATATTGTTATAAATCTGGAGCTCATTAAATTACATGTACCATAAAAAAAACTTAGTATTAAATACTTGATATGTATAATTGAAAGCACCAAACAAATATTTGTTCGAACAATAAATATTTTTTATTAAAAAAAAAACTTTTAAAATTCGAAAAAGAAACAGTACTACACGAGACATGTAAAGAAAATTTTTGACAACTTATCTTCAAAAATAAATTCAAAAATCCAATTTAATTGGGGTGGGGTGGGGGAATTTAAGAGGCCATATTTTTTAAGTTTTAAGCTTGCCGTTACTAAAGGTACAATATTAACATCTAATAAAACATGTTACAAAAAGCCAGATAAGCGGTGTTTTTAATTGTTGCTAAAAATTATTTGCGAAAAATATACACCAATTGATAAGGATAAAATCTTAAAAAAATAAAGATAAAATTTTGCTGTAGAATTCCTCCTTTAATAAATACAGGTAAACTCTACCTGTACCCCTTAGAGGGTTCCTTAATTGAGTGTGATAATTAAATAATTTTATAATGAGTAGACGTTCATGGAACACACCCTATGTCTCCTGTTTATAGGTCAGTAACTGCGGCTGCTGTACTGATCAGTCAAAGTGAAACACTACACGAAAGGTGAACATTATTTGTTTGTTCACTTTTGCATTAAATGCTCTTTCTGTTGCATCTTGTTTCCTTGTTGTTTTCCCTACCGTTCCTCGAAAATATAGACGTCTGAAACATCTAGACATATAACACTTTTACACACTTGTGAGAAATTACGCATCGTTTAAGTTGATCAATTTGAATACATATTGAAATTGACAAATCACTGATTATACCTTAATTGTGAATAGCTCGTTAATGTACATCAGCATAATGAAAGAAAGGCAAACATAAAAAATCTAACTTAAAGAAAAGGTATGGTAACCGCTGTATCTAGCCCCTTATTTGATGTGAAATAAAAATCAAACACAGTTAAAACTCTAATAGTTTGTAGTTAAGAACTTAAATGGATGCTTGTTTTAAACCCAGCAATAATTTTGATTCAAAGCATACACAGGGACCACAAGAGGGTGCAAAAATAGGACGTTTTCGAAAAGTTGCTAAATTTTTAGTCAAATTTGAGATACTTTTCACTTCGAAGAACATAAAGTACTAGCTTGCCTATCTGAGATTTTTACTTATAAACTGCATTTAACCTTACTTTATAAAATATATGAATTTGATAGATAGGCAAGCCTGTGCTCTATGCTTTCTGAAAGAAAATGTATTGTAAAATTTATTAAAATTTGCAGAAATATTTAGTATGAGAAAATTCGAAAATTGACCTATTTTCTGACCTTCCTGTGACCTCTGTGTATCCCATAACTTAGAACCAGTATTCATTTTGTGGCAGGGGTGATCAGTGTTTTTTCAATTTATAAACTGTTGCATCATTCTAAAAGACACCCTAAACCAGGGGCCAAAAAGATGTCTTACCCTATCTTGTTCTTTCGTAAATCATAACAATTATCTAACCACACTTTTTACAGGATTTGATAACTTGATATGAAATCAAATATCCTAATAAAATGCAAAGAAGCATGGATTAATCAATGCAAGCTATAATAATGAAATTCAGTCATAGTGTTACCGAACCTCGCTCTTATTAATATAATACATTAATACAATTCTACCTTAATGTACCCGATCTCCATCATAGTATAACTGAAGTATGCCATAGTAAAACCAAACTGCGTCTTAGAATAACCAAACTTCGCTTCTATATAATCGAACTGCGCCTTAGAATTATAACCAAACCACGCCATAGTATAACCGAACTTTTATATAATCGAACTTTTCCTTAGAATTATAACCAAACCACGCCATAGTATAACCGAACTACAGCTTAGTGTAACCGAACCACTCCTTTGAATAACTGAACTCCGTCAGAGTATATGACCGAACTTTATAATAGTTAAATCTTAAGCTCTTCAGATAGGAGAAAACAAGATCCAAAAATACTTAGAAGTTTGTAAACTACTGATGCACTTAACGAGGCCGAATCTAATTTTTTTTCTGCCCTAGGAATTCCGATAATTTTTTGATAATTTATTTTTACGGTTATATTTATTGTTTTAAGATTTAAAAAATCGAATGTTTACCATCCCGATTTCTTAGGGGGTCATTTCAAAAGTTGGCAAATTTTACTATTGGACCCTATGGGATTCTGTTGGAAAAGCGCCAAATTATCATATTTTTTCCATATTTGTTTGTATTTCTGCCCTAGAGATTTCTTTTCCATTCAAGTAGATGAGAGTTATTGTAAAAAGTCACCAAATTGTGAAATTTCAAAAAAGTTCACCATCTAGGTTTTTTTAAGGAAGTAATTACTAAGTTTATTTTTTCAAAGCCCAAAACCTCTAAAATTGCCATATTACGATATAAATACATATCAGTGCAGATGAATTGTCGGCGTATATTTATTTGGTAAAAAATAGCAATGTTTAGATTTCTAGTGTGTATTTTGGATGATTTGTCGTCAGTTTTTAGTGTAATATCCATGGACGTCTTGAACATTCAAGCGACTCACATGCGTCATTCTTCAGCATCATGCATTAATAATTGCTTACAAAATCTTAAAATGGTGACGTCGTTAGAGCCATTTCATAGTTTTTTCCCTAAATATTGTCGTAAAATCACATTTACATACCAGTATGGATTACAGATAATGTTAATTTTGTGTTAAAATCAAAATATTTGGAAAAGGTGTACGGTCGCACAAATGACTGCATGAAATTAAAAAGCTGCGCAATGTCATGCGCACTCGAATTAGACTCGGCCTTGTTAAAGATACTTGAGTGCCAGTTTTTTTTTCTTTTTCTTTTTTTTTTTTAAATTTCATTGTATTAGATATTTGACAAAATTATTTTTAAGCATGATATATAAATCTTATCAACAGATTGTATGGACATTTTTTTGCTTCAATTGCATACTTAACAAAATGACTAAACTTCAAAACCATCCTTTTCTTGCACTCTCCCGACACCTATTCTTCACTATGATATATGGTGATGATTATAGCGAACAATGTTCAACCTCAAAAGTCTAATGAACAATACGAAATAGGAGCAGAGCAAACGCATACCTCATTAACATCAGAGGTGGGATAAGGTGCCGTGGATGAGTGAGCTCCCCTGCCGACCGATCACATCCGCCGTGTGCTCCTTGTCATGATCGGGAAATAACGGAAAAATCCGTCGTCAATTCAGTGTGTAAGAAGGATATGGAGATAACGAACAGTATTCAATCTCAACGTCCATTAAATAATAGACTAACAATTAGTATGAAAAAGTTAGTTAGCGCTTGACTCAATGATAAACTGTATTTGCTGACTAGGTATCGACCAAAGAATTTACGAAATACGAGATATTCTTGTTTCATCAATTTCTTTGTCAGTAATTTGCCTCGTTTGTAGAAATTTTACTCACGTAGAGCATGCTCTTACGTATCGAATCAACTGAGAGATACAAACTCCGCATGCAGGTGATGAAGGTATATTGCTGCATGAGTACGGAAAGTTGACGATTGAAAAGTTAATGTCATCACGTTTATCATAAAGCTTGGTTGTTAAATTTGCATTAAGATATGTTTTAAGTAAAAACAAATGTGTCAGACTCTGTGGTATCTCTTATCGCAAGCTCACCAGGATATATCGTATCGACGTAGGAATGGAAATTACCTTTGTTAATTGACAATACGTCGTCGATATGACTATATGTAGATTTGGAGGCCACAGCAAGTGTTTTCTTCTTATCAAGATTTTGGACAAATTCTGCTTCATATGATTACAAAAATAGGTCTGCTAATAACAGGACGTAATTGGTACCATTGGGAATTTCAATAGATTGTTAGATGACCTGGTCTCCAAAAACCACATAGATATTGTCAATCAGAAACTCTAGCACCCTTTTTATGTCAACTTCAGAGTAATTGTGTGAACAATCAGAATGCTTTGTTCTTAATAAAATAATTCTGGAAATGCCCAATGACAATGTTAGTGAATTACAAGTTCCATATTTATTGAAAACGCAGCTGTCAATGACAATAAAAAGACTTTAATTTATCGTGGAGAATGGTATAATACAGAATATAGAGTATTTACACTAAAAGAAAAAATTGTTGTAAGGTATCAAGTAAATTTAAATTTCTATTACCTATGAGAGATTGATTTACAGAGAAAATCCATTAGAAATCATAGCTACTAGTATAACAATTGTAAAGAATGTATGAATTTTGTTATCTTCGACTTTAACAAAATTTATAAGATATAGTTTTTTTTATATTAATCGTATTGAAAAATACTGAAAGTCTTTAATTTAAAATATTGTATTCTTAATTGACAGAAAAGACTTGTGAAACTCTTCACGAAAGTCTCGACTTAAAAATCCGTACATAAAGGGATTGATTCCACAACTGAGAAAATGAGACCTTACTCCAATGTTGTAGAATATTTGTGAATCTACTGACATATCCAGTATGAAATCAGCATTTAATCTTCTAGCAAAAAGCAAACCAAAATACGGGAAGTAACTTGTCCACTGTATAAAGGTAATTAACAACAACATTATGGTAGTTCTTCTCATTCGATTTTGACTGGAAGTTCGCGTATGTGGAGTAACTTCAATTTTTTTCGTATTTGACATGGAATTTACAGGTTTAGGCTGAACGGGAGAAGATTTGTGCTGGGACCAATTTTGGACGTTTGTGTTAAGATTGGTAGAGTCATCCGGCAGACTTTCTGGAGAAGAGGATGTTGTATTTGTTTTATATCTCTCGGTGATCTGATTATTTGTTTTATTTCCTATCCCCGTTGCTGAATATCTACACAATTTGTTCAAGACTAAAGAGTAAAATATGAGCAGACACAATGATATTATCAGAAAGAGAACAGCAACCATGCCGTAGTACAGTGCTGGATAAGGCGTGTCCGAATATTCTCTATTTAGGGGACATGATGTTTCTGCAATTGGGGATTTCATTTTGTTGGACTGTCCGAATATGATTAGACATGGCCACGAAAATAATAACGCAACAACTGCTGTTGACGAACATAATTTCTTTGCTAATGGAATCTGAATCTGACTTCTTGCCAACCTACAGATTTTCATGTATCGGTCAACTGCAATCACCACTAGCATTAACCCGGCTCCCAGTGACGTCACAGAACGAGTAAATCGTTGGAATCTGCAGAGATGGGGGTCATCAAGAGTAATCGGATGTTGGAGCATAGCTATCTCAATGGGCATACAAATTACAGAAGTTAATAAGTCGTACGCTGCTAAGAATCCAACAAAATATTTAACAGTTTTTTTCTTCCATCTGAAGAGGTAAATATAACACACCGCAAGATTACCCATAATTCCTAGGATCATTAAGACTGACATAATTACAGCCACGGGAAGTAAAGTCAAAGCCATGTTATGGTCAAGTTCTAGAAATTCGTCATAAGAGAGCGATTCTTGCTTGTTTGACTTGTACCGGGTAAAGTTGTCAGCCAATTGTTGCACTGTCGAACTATTCATACTCAACGCTATAATGAGATTTTGAAAACATAACCAATACACTGTGTACACAAAATAAATCGGCAATAATATCGATAACGATTTTCTTTAACACACTCATAAATTGTATGCAAGATGTTGAATTTCAAAGGTGCATTTCAGTGCACTATAATATCTTATTATTTTATAATTTCTTTTACAAATGAAAAAATAAAACTTAAACTTTAAAATGATCTTAGCCTACCTTAGCACAGGAGTGTTTAAAAATCAGCAACAAATCAATTATTTGACTAAAAAATAATTCGAATTGTCCGCAAACTATCAGTAAACAAGGAAACTGTAAGACTTTTTATAAAATGTACATCAAAATTAAAAAAAGAGTGTTCATTTTGTAGTATTTCCTTCCTGGTCTGCGTTTTTAAAGACATTAAAAATAGAATACATCTATATCTAGAATGATTTGACAGATATAAAGGATATAATCATATAATAACATTATACTTCAGGAGGAAAAAGAGTTAAGAAGACATTAAACTTTGTTTTAAAAAAAGCTTAGAACAGAATTAGCATTCCTGAAAATAAATTTTTTATGTGAAAAAAAATAAATAAATACATGTAAATTAATAAATATTTGGTTTAAAGGATCAATGAAATAAAAAAAATGTACTTTTTTTTTTTTTTACAAAAAAATCTTTATAAATAATTTTATAATTTTGAAGTAAAAAAAAATCATTGTGTACACAGTTTATTTAATTATCAGAATTCTAATTCTTGGTAGATGTAAAGTAAAATGAATCATCCGCCGTATGCTCCCTGTCAGAATCATGGAAACGGGAAAAAATCCGTAGACAATTTGGTTTGTATGAAAATGTCAGCCAACTCGATATTAGATTTGCTGACAATGTCATTTTATCGTTTTTTCCCCACTTTTTCCCTTTTTTCTTTTTTGTGTTAAGAAACACACTCTGGTCAGAGGATACTTACTTTTCATGGCACCTGATTCTTACAATGGTTTTTCAGAGGGTCTGTGTTTGCTAGGTCTGTGCTTGCTCTGCTCGAGATTTGTATTGTTCCGGTGGACTTTTTGACATCAGTAGCAGCTGCTTTTTCAACAAATAATAAACTCATAAATTTTTAAGGTCATTTGCAAAATCATAGCGTTAAAATAATACAGTTGTGCATACATGTACTCTGAAGTTGCTTGCGTTTCTGATTGACAATATCCATGTGGTTTATGTTGACTATATCTTTCAACTATATGAATATTCTACAAATTCCCGTAGTACCAATTGCACCCCTTAATTAGCAGAGTAAATTTTGTATTTATATGAAGGATGAATTTATTCAGCCCTTATATGAGAAGGAAAAAACATTTGCGGTGTCCTTCAACACTCAACGTTTAGATATATCGACAACATATTATCGATTGAAAATACTTGATTCCATTCATATGTCGATCGACACGATATACCACTGTAAGCTTAAAATAACAGATACAACATCGTTTGACCCATTTATTTTATTTCTGAATATTTTACTAGGAAAGAAGTTTATGATACTTAACGACCAAGCTTTATGATGAACTTTTCAACGCTCGTCTTCCCTAACAAATGCACATTCTATTGATGTGTACGAACCTTTCTATTTGTCGGAATTCTTAAAAAAATGAAAACCTGAAATGTGCACAGTACATGTAGCTCTGGTAGTAGCTGAAAAAAGATGCTTGAGTTTCTGATTGACAATATCTATGTGGTTTTTGGAGACCAGGTCTTCTAACAATCTCATGAAATTCCCATGGGTATCAATTGCGCTTCGTTATAAGTAGACCTATTTTTGTATTCATACGAAGCAGAATTTGTCCAAAATCTTAAACGTGATAAGAAGAAAACACTTGCTGTTGCCTTCAACTCGAAATTTAGATATATTGACGACGTACTGTCAATTAACAATGGTAATTTCCATTCTTATTTCGATACGATATATCCCGGTGAGCTTGAGATAAGAGATACTACAAAGTATGACACATCTGTTTCATATTTGGAAAATTTACTTGAAAAAGACGTTAATGGTAATCTGACAACCATGCTCTTTGACAAACGCGATGACTTTAACTTTTCAATATCGTCAACTTCCCCTCATACATGTCCAAGAACAAATTCGATGTCGACAGTATTATTATACCGATATCGATCCTGACTAGAACCATAAATTGAAAATACTGAACACCATATATGAGACTAAGTGCTATGTCGATGTCGTCGATATCGACAATACCAGGACGTTATCGTATCGATATCGATCCTGATATAAACAATTCATTTTTAAAATTGAGTTAATACATAACTAAACAAGGCCAAAAGCAAAGTCGGTAGAAGTTCATAGTTTGTATGAATATGTGAATAAAATTACAAACAGAGGGTTAGGGGTTGTCATTGTCTTGGATACGATTTAGAGTAAGGTTTTGAATGAGGGTGAAAGTTGGTAAAACATGATTTTAACAATCATAATTGATTCAATGACCTTGTCAGCAAATGCAATTAATCATTGAGTCAAATGCTGACTTATGTTTTTTTATACTAATTGTATGTTTTTCATACTAATTTTTAGTCCATTATTTACACACTGAATTGATCGGGTGTGACCGTTTGGCAGAGGATGTTTACTCTATGGCACCTGATACAACCTCTGAAATTTTGGAGGTCCGTTTTTCCTCTGCTCCTATTTTTATTGTTTCATCTTGTATGAGCTTGAATACTTTTCTTTATCTCCATACATTTCATTCATGTACTCGGAGTATATGCCACCGTTTAAATTATTTTATATTCTCCAATGTCTTAGTTTCACACGTTCAAGATATTTCCTGTGAACGTTTCGGCATGATACATCTGTTTCATACTTGGATATTTTACTTGAGAAAGACGTTAATGGTAATCTAACAACAAAGCTCTATGATAAACGTGATGACTTTATCCTTTCTATCGTCAACTTCCCTTACTTGTGCAGCAATATACCTTCATCACCTGCATATGGAGTTTATATATCTCAGTTGATTCGATACGCAAGAGCATGCTCTTCGCACGAACAATTATCTAAAACGAGGTAAATTATTGACAATAAAGTTGATGAAACAAGAATTTCAGAAGTCTAATTCAAAGTAATCATTTTTTTTTAGTTCTTTGGTTGATACAATCACCTTGTCAGCAAATACCATTTGTCATTGCTGACTTACGTTTGTCATACTAATGCTTAGTCCATTATTTATACACTGAATTGACGACGAATTTTTCCGTTATATGACAAGGTTTGACTTTTCAGCAGGGGATGCTCAATACTCCATGGCACCTGATCCCAAGTCTGATTTTTTAAAGGTCTGCTCTGCTCCTATTTTGTATTGATCTATGGAATTTGACACTAAATACTGTTCGTTTTCTCCATATCCTTTATAAAACAGGTATGGAATAGGTATGAGGAAAATATTAAAGTTACGGTTCCTCACGAGAAAAAGTTATATCCTTCGGAAAACCATACATTTGCTATTTCCTACATACCAATTCCATAACCATATATCAATTTTAGATATAACTTTTAAAACATGTAACCTTTAAGTCATTTGGTTCAAAGTATCACGTACAGAGTTTGTTAGACAATGATATCTTAATTTAGAAATGTCAACGCACTTGTATCACATGCAGAGTTAGTAAGACATTAGTAAATGTTTCTTGATAAGGAAAAATTTCTGCTATTTTAGTGTTTTCTAATCTTTCCACTGCTCACATTGCCTTATATTCGTTTCTCGGTAAGACATGCGTAAGGTGAAACATTCAAGGACATTTTAATTAATTATCTGTCTATTTTATCTGTCGTCAACTTTACTTTACTTATTTTTCAATTCATTTCATTTTTATTTTCGTTCTCAAAAAAACGGAAACATTTTAAATAAATCATTATATGTGCAATGTAGTTTTGTTTTGTTTTTGTTTTTCCAAAAGAACGATTTTAATAAATACATCAAGTTAGATTAGGTGGTGAATTTAATGGTCTTTAGAAATTAAGGTACAGAATGAAAACTCAACACATTTTTTTTAAAAATTTACTAAAGCTTTTTTACACTTCTGAAAAATCAGGATTTGATAAATGCAGATCTACAATTTATTTCCATGTGTGTTTTCCAATTCAATTAATTTATTTTCATGTTCAGATCTTTTTGGTGAAGACTGTGCGTCCTCATCAGTCGCCCGCGTGGTGAAGTGGTTAGCACATCAGCTCTAGACTCGCGAAGTAAGGAGTTGATCCCACTGTGGGACGCGGCGACCGGTCCTAAGGATGGAACCGTTAAAACCGAAATCCCGTGTCGCAGTAGGTGCTGGCACATCCTTGCTCAATGGACCTGAGTGCAGAGTATTGGACCAAATTTGCAGCTCTCTATCGGCAAGTGGTGGCGTCTCCATATGAGTGAAAAATTCTCAAGAGAGACGTTAAACAACATACATACAAACAACCACACAAACATCCGTCGTTCAACTATCTGTGGGTCTGTCCTAATTTGTTTTCATCGGTTTATCTTCACGCTTGCACATATATGGTGCTAATTATTTTGGAAAGTGAAACTACCTTGACGATTAATAAGCCGGAAATGCATATTAAATAAGTTTACTTGATAATACAAAATTTTAATAATCATCCAAATGCTATTGTTGAATCTGAAAATCTCATAGAGAAATGTTTTCAAATATTATAATATAATTTTAGCTGTAACACGTCATTTTATTTGATGAAAGATTTAGTTTATATCGTATAACATAAGTTGCCTACGTCACAATGAGTTACGTTAAAAACGTGACACCGCTTGACGTTCCTTATAAAATATGATCAATTTGAAGCCATTTTTGGACGAAAATATTTTTATTGTCTACACTGAAATTAAATTATAATCACGGAAGCTTATTCTAACCTATGTTATACGAGATAACAAAACTTGGGGCAGTTTACGCTTTTTATTTTTTATAAATCGCGGTTTATAAAAAAGCGTAAACTGACCCAAGATGTGTTATATCGTATTAAAATAAGCTTCATTCCTTAAACGTTTTTAAATGATTTAAAGATCATAATCTGATAAGAAAATTGACTCCCAAATATCTCAAACAAAAAATACTACAGTTAACTATACTTAAATGTAGTTTACTATAGTAAACAATAAAACCAAAGTAAAAACTTTGGTACTTTGATTTACGAATATGTAGTGAAAACTTTGGAACTTTGATTTACTATTATTATAATAGTGAAAACTTTGGAAAACTTTGATTTACTATTATTATAATAGTGAAAACTTTG